AGGCTGGAGGGTCCCCTCTGGGCGGCCCGAGGCCCTCCCCTGTGTCTGAGAGGACAGGGGGCTTCCTTGGGGACCCGCGGGGCTGGCCGCCTTCTAGGCCGGGCGGGGACACCCACTTGACCTCCTTTGTCTTCTCTGCAGTGTGGGAAGGTTTTCCTGGAGAAGGCCGGGGGCTGAGGCTCTTGGCGCTCCTGTGGCCTTGGGGCTGCTAGCGGAGGCTTTATAAGGTACCTGCCTCCCCGGCTGCTCCCTTCCTGCTAGTAAATAAGGATGATCAAACTTTTCATCAGGATCACACCCTCCAGTCCCATCTGCACGCGGCGTGTAAATAGGTGCGTTGAGCTTTCCACAGGCCCCCGAGTCCCTAGACTGAAAATCAGAGTGAAGTGTGCCACTTGGAAATAGAGTCAGGGAAAAAAAAAATTAAAGCCAAAAACCATTCTGCCTTTCCTTAATCCATGTGCCCCGGGTCCCCTTAGCCAGTGTCTCTGCGCCTACCTTGTCCGGGTTCCAGGCCAGCAAGCCCTCTGCTCGCCCTCCCACCCCCTTGGAAGCAGAGCCCGTTTTTGTAATGATATTTTATTTTGTCACACCGTAAAACACGCCAGTACTAATGTGATTAAATATTAACACCGTTTCTGAAATTCCCCGCTCCGATGACAAAATACTAGTCGGTATTTAACAAAATGATCCGTGCTGGGATTGGAGGAACGAATCGTGGTTCAGAACTGTACAGGACGCGTAGCCACAGGGACGTGCCCGGAGTGTCTTATGGGCTTGGGACGTCTTCGCAGGGGAAGAAACTTGATTGGCAAGTGGTAGGTCTGGAAGCGTCTGGGCCAGAATCGCATGTGATTTCACGATTTCTTAAACTAGGAGAGCAACCCGCCTCCCCCCGACTACACCCACCCGACAACTTTTATATCATGAGACTCTGCAGCGGATCCTGAGGTGGCACAGAGTTGGGGTGGGGGAAGGGTGAGATGATCCTGGGGGGGGAGACTAGCCTGAGTTTGGACCCGTTCAACAGGGGGGATGTGAGCTGAAGAATCCTTTGCAGGACCCACCACCTGTCTTGGTGAGGAGGGTGTGTGTGTGTGTGTGGCTCTGGAGGAAATTCCAGAAGAGAGAAAGAAAGATCAGGGTAGGATAGAGATGGTGGACGTGAAGTTGGAAAAAATGATGCTTTTCAAAACTCTGAGCTCAACGTCTGCACTCATTCCCGCCAGACCCCCTTTCAGCTGGGAGTCCTCCGCCTCCAGACCCAGGGCGGCCTGGAGGGGCCCTTCCCACACCCTGACACCCGAGTGATGTCAGGGTCTGCTCTCCGTCCCGATCTGGCCCTTTTTGGAAGTCCGATGTTTTTCCAGGGATGTGGGAGAAAATTTTTGGAATGTCATGCTTCTCTCCCAGCGTTCCAGAAGGAACAGAGTCAGGCAGGCCTGAGAAAGACGAGGCGGGCCGGGAATTTCTTCCGACGTGGGGCAGGGAGGGTAGAGGTCCCAGCCTCCCAGCCCAGAGCTGTTTTCCCGAGTCCTCTCCCCCCGCCCCCCTCCTCACACCAGGCAGAGAATTTTTAAGGCTCACATTCTCAAACTTGCTTGGGAGGAGCCGGGGACACCAGAGTCCCCGCTTCCCGGGAGATCACCCAGCGCGCATGCCTTCCTGTGACTTTTGTGCCTCTGGAAGATGTAACCCAAAACTTCGCAGGTGTTAATCAGGGCTGATGGAAACAGATAGGGGCTCCCTTTGTGCAGCTGACTTGGGGAGCCGCTCCCTGGCTCGCCTCGGCCATCCCACTACTGTTCCTTGGTGCTTATTCAATATTTCATGGCTGACATAAACCTGTCTTCTTGATCCGCCTCCCGACATAAAACCCCAACCCGGAATACATCTGCGATTCTATATTTCTACTAAATATTAATAGAGGACAACGATGTTTTAAGGGGCTGAAGCTTAGCGGGGTCGAACTTCTCATGGTTTCTGCTACTGAAATTGTCGGCCTGTTTGGATTCTCCGTGTCCACCACCTTCTCCTGGGCCCTACGTGCCTGGACCTTCTCCTCCCTCTGCCCACAGACAACTTTTCGTAGACGGCCAGGCTTTCTCGGGATAGCTTCCTCTCCTATAAATTTCATTTCGATGTCTTGGAGAGGGCCCCTGCAGACCGGAAGCAGGAGACTGTTGGAATGTTCTCCTATTTTATTGGGGGATCTAGGAAAGACGCGTGGGTTGGTTAATCTGATTTCGCTCTCTAGCAATGAAATCCTATGATTCCTGATATGATTTTGTTTGCCTGACAGAGGTATTTAAATTTCCACAAAGAATCTTAATAAGTCCTGAAAATAGGGTTCCTCTCGCCAAGAAGTCACTCGATACCCTCCGCTGATAGAAAATAGACATCTTTAATAAACAGCCCGCGAGGGCCAGGTGAAACTGGAGGAGCCCGGTCTTCCCCCCGTGGCAGGGCAGAGTCGCTGGGATTTCACGGGATCTCCCAGACTCGCTCTGTGCCGCAAAATTGAGCAAACCACTGGTGGCCCCTTTTTCTCCACTTGAGTGACAATGACGTTGGATTGTGTTCCTTGCTCAGGGGAGCGATCTGCGTTACCGAAAGTGTTTAGGAGCTAAATGCTCTCAGGCAGGAATACTGTATTTACCTCTGTTTGGTTAATTTTAGAGATTAAAAGGCTGAAGCTTTATATAATAGGATCAAGTGTCTGGGGAACATGTGAGGACAGGCAGGCCTTCCCGGCACATGGCACCGGGAAAAATCCAAATCCCGCCGCAGCGAGGGGTCCTCCATTGATTGGGGTACTCCCCCGTCATGGGTCTGGGCACC